TCCGCTTTTTTTAGGTTAAAAATTGATTGGAAATGATCTAATAAGGTCAATGGTCAAATATTAATGCATATTTTGAATATTTTGTAGTATGAATATTCATTCATTTATAAAATACATATGACATCTTTGTCAACTACCTACTGACTCAGATAACTTGTCATTTGTTGACATTTGACAAAGATGTAGGAGACAAATTGCTGATATAGATTTGAAGTATTTCATTTAGCTAAAATTCTTCTTTCATTTCTTCGTTTTCTTTTTTCTTCATGATAAATTTCATTTAGTCATTTACTAAAAAGTTTTGAATTTAAAAATGAAATTTATTATTTAATCATAATAAACTTAAAAATGAAAACAGACAGATATAAAATGATAATTTATTGATATAATTTAATTATTATGAATTCATTTTCAATTATTTGTTTGTTTTCTTTGAAATGAATGCTAGTTGATTATTCTTTTTTTTTTTTTTTTTTTTTTTTTGTTAAATATTACTTTACTTTGTTAAGAGACAAAAATAAAATGTTTTAACTTTAATAATGTGCAATTTATTCTTATATCATTTCTGATGCTATCATTTTGGTATTAAATACCTAAATAAAATATTTCAAAAATTTGCTTTTAATTTATAATCATTTGATTAAGAATAGTATATTATTTATATATGTATTTAGTTTTAATTTTGTGCTATAATAAATTGATATAATTACGAAAATTTTATTTACATTTATTTGATTTATAATTTTTTAATATTATATGATCGCATTTAACTGTAATTACTTACAGTTAAGATAATAACTTTTATAATTTAGAAATATTTTTTTAAAAAAATTATCAAGTAAATAAAGTATCAAAGTTAGAAAACTTATAATTTATTCCAAAATTTATTAATAATTTTTTTTTTTTTTTATTGTTGTTTTAAATCATTTTGTTTATTATTAATAAGTATTGTTTGCTTATTTTGTAACATTTCAAATCTCACTTTGAATGCACAAATCTTTTTTCATTTATTATTTTATTAATTATAAAGAAAAAAAAAAGCTTAATTAATTTCATTTAATTAACTTTAGTAATTCCTTTTAATAAATGATAAATATGTTTATTTTCTATTAATGATAATTTCAATCAAAATATTTTTCCCATTTTTTTTTTAGCTAATTCTTTTTTTTTTTTTTGTTTTCGTTTCATTTTTCTTTTTGCTCTAAAGTATAAATTTTATCCAATCCAATATTTACTTTCTTCAACTATTCATTCATAAGTAATCAATTTCTAGAATAATTATTGATTATTTAGATCAAATGTGAGTAGCATTTATTTACTTATATGAAATTGATTAATATCAAAATATTCTCACATTCTATTATTATTATTTTGGGTTATCAAACAGATCTAAAATATTTGAACTTGCATACTTTATTATTTGTAATTTTTCATTGCATAAGTCAATTGCGCCCAATTTTTTTTTTTTTTTTTTTGTCATTTTGTTTACATACTTCAGTGTTCACTTATGAATTCCAAGAAAATATACTTTCAAAATATACTTTCTTATTTTACAATTTTCCTACAATTTATTCGTACCTTTTCTCTCTCTCCCTCTTTCTCTCTCTCTCTCTCTCTTTCTCTCTGCTTTATCCCAATACTTCTTTCTCTTCGTTACATTACTAATTCCATTGTCACATCGCTTTTGTGACAATTCGATTTCGATATTACTTCAGCTTCTTCCTCTTTTTTAAACAGTTTGTTTAGTTCGCTCTCAATTGTGTGCTTATTATTTTATCAAAATTTCATCATTAAATATTATTTCAGTAATTAATTAATTAATTAATTTTATCAATTAAATTATTTGCCAAAATTATTTAATTAGCTATCATTAAGTACAATTATAAAAATTGATTATTATATTAATTAAAAAATAAAAAATTATTCATTAATTATTTACTATTAATTACTCATTCATCTCAATGAAAATTCTATTATTTGATAAAATAAAAAATATACATTTAAATTCAATTTTTCATTTCTAATTTTATTACTTTTATATTATTTTTAAGGAAATTCAACTTTAATCAAAAATTTCAAAATTTAATTTTGATCAAAACTATTTACTATGATATTTCTAAAAATAAATGAAAGTCATTTGATGAAAAATATTTCGCTAAACATTGTGATAAAATTTTAGAAATGAAACGAAGCAAATAAAATTTTTGTTATATTGTTGAATCAGCTGGAAAACGAATGTTCGAATTATTTAAATTCGAATATAATATAAAAATTTTTATTTGTTTTTTCTTTTTTTTTTTTCATTTCTTTTTAAAACTGATCAATCATATATTTTAATATTTTGTATGTTAAAATAATAGCAAATATTATCTGTTATTTATTTATTTATTTATTTTTTCAATCAAAAAAATTGAATAAAATAGAAAATCAAAAATTATAATATATTTGTTATTTGTAAAAATTTTTACAGAAAACAATGAAAGAACCTTGTTTTCGATGCAAACGACCAACTTATTTTAATGATAAAATTGGTCCATTAAAGGATGGTGTCCTTTTTCATAAAGTAAGTAAAAGTAAGTAAAAGTAAAAGTAAAAAAAAACATCAATTTATTATTGTAAACATTATTTTATTTGTTTTTTGTTTTAATAAAAATTTATGCATTTTCTGTTTTTGCTTTGTTTAAAAAAAATTATTATTATTTTTTCTTTAATCACTGAAAACATTTATTTATTTAATCAATTTTAAGTTAATTTATAATTATTTATTAATCATTATTAATGTATAATAATAAAAATTTCATTATTTTAAACATTTCATTTTTTAATTTTTTTTTTTTTAAATAAAATTTCTTTTAATAAATCATTTATGACAAATGATTGTTTTATTTCCTTTAGGGAGTAATTTAATGCTTTATTTCCTCATTTTAATTCTTTTCTCTTCCTTTTAAAAAAAAAAAAAAAAAAAAAATTTGTTGATTGAATTGAAGTTAAAGTTAAAAATGATAAAATGATAATTGCTGGTCGTTTGGATGAAAAAAATTCATTGGCTACTTCATATTTAAAAGTTTATTTCATATTTTATCGATTATTTGTTTTAAATAAATCTTAAATAAACGTTCATAATACATTTTTAATTAATATTTCGATTTTAAAAAATAACCATGTGCATACGTTTCAAATTTAAATTTGAATTTTCTATATCACAATATTTCATCAAACTTATCCATTTTTTTTTAAAGGAAAAATGAAACATTATCCTTCACTTTTTCTTTTAAAATTTTGAGTCATTTCGAATAAATTGAAATTTAAAAACGAAATTGAAAATGAATGGAACAAATATATTTAATTACAAAAACAAAGCAATTTATTGCTATCAAAAAAAAAAATAATTTTGATTTTTCTTTTTTAGAAAGGAATTTAACCTTTCTTTTTTTTTTTTTTATTTTAAAGAATTTAATTTTTAAGGGATGTTTCAAGTGTTGGATATGCGGATCACGCTTATCATTGAAAACTTATCACAATAACAGGAATGATACGCAAGATCTTGAGGTAATAAATGATAATATGATAATATACTTATTCCATTTAAGATTTAGAAAATAGAAAATTTTAATTTAATGTTAAAATTTGCATAATAAAAGAAATTTGATCAATTTTTTTCTTCTTCTTGAAATCCATAAAACGAAAAAATTTTTTAGAAATAAATGGCTAATAAATAGAAAAATGAATAGATTGAAAAGTTAAACATTTAAAGAAGTGAGAGAAAAAAATTTTTTTTTTTTTATTTTAAATTTTAATTACTTGTTATTCAGTGATAATTTTAGGTATATTGTGCTGGACATGTACCAACACCTGGACCACATGATCCAATACCACATCGATCCAATCTTTTATATAGTCCAAAAACAAAAGGTGAATATCCGTACAATCTGATGAGGCCAGCTGGTCCATAAATAATTATTATCTGAATGCAAAATGTTAAATGATAAAAAATTTTATAAATAAAAAATCAAAATATAATTTTTCATTATTGTACAATTTAATGTGAAGCGTTAATTGTAATAGATTTATGAGATAATTAAATCAGTCATTTGTGATAAAATTTTTACAATAATAAACTTGAAAAATCATAGATCATCAGAAAATTTGAATTAGATATTCATTATTTAAGTATTTTTTATTTCGGTATTATATTAATCTAGCATTACTACACTGATAATATTGTTCAATGTTTCTTGGTGAAATTCCTTCACTTTCTTTTTCATCCATATTTTGCAGTGCAACAAAATGTTACTTTTGGATATTTAGGAATTTTTCAGTTAAAAAGGATTGAATCTCAATCTGAAAGGTTAAAATTATTTAAATGAAAAAAAAAAAAAAAAAGAAAACGTATCCTAGGTGAATATCTCATGCAAAACTGATCATTTCATGTTTTAATGAGTAGTATATTTGGTAAAAAATCATTATGCATCATTAAATTTCGTGAAGATCACTTCAGCTAATTTGTTTATATCAATAATCGATTATTTTTATGAAAAAAAAAAAAAAAAAATAAGATGGGAGAAAAATGATTTCGTTTTCAAGCAAAACTATTTCTTAGCTTCTTAAAACTAAGCTTAAACTTCTCCGTCAATTACAATAAGTTCATTTTCACACTTTACGGAAATGATGTCCAGAAATGCAAACGTCGCACAATTTTTTTTCGCTTCTATTCTCTGTAATTTCTTTCTCGACCATTCAGCAAGTTTACATTCTTTGCACAGTAAAAAGTTCTAATCGAGACTGAATATGCACATGCAATACTAAAGTCACCTTCTTGATGCAACAATCATTTCTCACCTTAGTTCCATTTTTAGGTCAAAAATTATTAATCGAAGTGGAAAATAGATTGATCAGTTTTTCATCAAAATTTTTAATGGTTATATTTAAAAAGCATACAACATAAAAGCATTTATCAAATAGTAGTGGAGCAATATAATTTTACACATTCAAAAAAAAAGTTATACAGTGTAAGGATTGAATATTTCGATCCAGTAACCATCCGGATCCTGAATAAATGCTAACCCCTTCATACGACCATCGTCCGGCTTCTTTACGAAGTTAACACCTAATTCCTCGAAACGTTTACATGCCGCATATACATCCTTTACTGCTATTCCAATATGACCTGAAAAAATATTATTCCTCTTTTGCTGGCTTTTCTTCTACGCAACCTCTACATTTTTTATACCAAAGTCGAATTTTTCCATAAATGTTTGATAAACAGTGGCACAACCTTAATGTGATATCCTTTATAATTTAATTAAATATCACAGTTTTCAAACGAAATCCTCGCCACATTTTAATACCATGACAAAAAGGAAGTCGGCACTCCTACTTCTTCCGTACTACTCATTATTCTTTAAAATGGTATCATGCAATAGAACTCACCAAAACCGCGTGGTTCTTTATTTCCATTATGATAACTAAAGTTTGGATCGTTCTCGGTACCCCAGTTACTAAAAACATAAATTGTAATTGAATCAAACCATTAAATTCACACCTTTTCTACAGTGAAATCCATACTTGAGAATGATAAATTTAAAATGTGAGCAGATATAATGCAATTAAATGAGATATAAATTAAACGAATAAATTAATCAAATTGTAAATGCAATAAAGTTACTGAGTTAATTCGATCGTTGCTAATGTCGAAAGTGCATAGCGTTTCTGCTCTATAGGATCGCTAGGAATTTCTGCTGCCGGCTTATAACCCACGAAATACAAGGAGAATTTTCCTTCTGGGAAATCCATCTGTTTCAGTAATCTAAAATACTAACTGTTTAAAGACTTTAACTGTAAAAGAATATTTGAGAAAATGAACAGCAAGAGCTAAACGAACCTCATTCCCAGAATATTACAATAAAATGGCAATGTTTTCCGAGGATCTTTAATACGAAGCATCGTCTGCTGGAAATAAAAATCTTTCGTTTCCGGTGGCGTTTCCTTTACCAGCGACTTGATCTGAAATTATTTCTTTTACAAAAGAGATAAACTTTTTTTTTCTTTTTTTAGAAAACCAGAAAATTTTTGATATACAATAAATTATTACCACGAATATCAAAAAAGGAAAAACTGAATACTATATGCAAATGTACTTTATACGTTCAAATCATTTGACAAGAATTCAACAGAAATGTCAAATAATATATATACTTCGTTAGCTGGGATCGGTCCGGCAACAGTTGTGCTTCCTCCTGATTCGCACTGATTCGAGCCCATACTACAAAAACATTAATTTACGATTTTGACAACACCGAAAAAAAAAAATCTAAGCCACAGCGTTACGCGAAATATCGATGATATATGTCTGATGACAAAATTAATACCAAAGAGACAATAACAAATGAAAAAAAACATAGTTATTTAACAGGATTGCATTAAGCTAAATTTCTTTTTATATTAAATGAATGATTTCACTCATCCCAAATATAACTCACTTATCCTTTTTCTTTCGTGATAAAATTCGCCTCCTTACCCTTCTCCTACCCTTATTTTCTCAAACTATTAAATTTTACAAGCGATATCTAAGATATTTCACAGCATTATACAAATTTCTTTAACTCACTAAGCTATATTTTCGTTCACATTTTACAATAACTGACTTACTTGGTCTGTAATTCTTATCTCTATCACTTCGGATTCGAGCGTAGAGTATATATGATGTGATAATTAAGGCGTAGATAGCTGGAGACTGAAAAATACAACAAAGAAAATGACGAAATCTCGTTAATAACACTTTCACACAATTATGAGGTAGTAGAAATGCTAGATATATTTCAAATGATAACAAATTTGAAGTTAGTGTAAAGCGTATGAAATTAATCAGTGATGCAGAATAATAGTTAAACCTTTTGCTACTATTCTTTTACAGGAATACATATCCATTAACTTATTTATTTAGTATAGATCTTTACGAATATTTTCATTATTTATTTCAATAATTCGATGCTTATGGTTGACAAGAACAAAAATATGATTGACAATTCGATAAAGTAGAATATACATATACAAACACTGCGAAATGAAACTCATAATGTCAAAATCTATCGTCTATACATCTAGCTAACAGTCAATTTCAAAGCTTATTAACATTATCTTTTTCCAACTAATTTTCATTCTTCTTGTTCTTAATAACTAGCAAGAAATTGCAATTAGACTACATCATAAGAATGTAAATTTGTTATAAAAAAAAGGAAAAAAAACTAGCGAATGAATTTATAGTACTGTCACACTATTTATCAGATCAGGACAGTATTCAGATCTGGTAGTACTTAGATATAGTAGTGTAAAATTTAATAAAGTTAATTTAATTGTTCTGATCATACTTTTATTTTTACAATTACTATGATCAATAAATTAACCTTATGAAAGGCAAATCGTCGTTCACTTTTGCCCTTTGGGAATTTAATACGATCTGATTCTTTCCAAATAGCTACTCCTTTCCAATTTCGCACAACTGGATACCACAATGATGAGGCCAATTTCATGAAGATGACATCCGGAAAATACAAGAAAAAATGGTAACACTAATATTAAGACATTCTTTACTAGTGATCTTATAACTTGTTTTGATAACTTATCTTACACATATATAGCAATAACAACAACATTAACAATACATTAAAAAACAACAATAGCAATAGTAGCAACAATAATAAAACTAAAAACAACAACAACTTGCAACTATATCGGTTAGAAAAAAAGAGAACAGTTAGTGAAAATTATTTATGTTATGTTTTCCTTTATTTTTTGGAATTTATGATAACATATTATTGTATAGGATAACATTACGACAACATATTATTGTATAAGGTAAGTGAAGTAAAAAAGAATTCGAGAAATAAAATAAACGAAGAAAGTATGTAGTGATAAGTAATAAAGATTACAAATAATAAATAACGAATCATAAGGTTAAATTAAAAAATGTAAGTGAAATTCCCTGAACTATGTTTACTTAGTCCAATGTCATTATCTTACATGAAATTATCAAGGAAAAAAAAAAGAAAAAACTATAATGGCATCATGACATTTACCTATCGGCACGAATTACCCATTGCAACATTTACCCACCCGTACAAGTTACCCATACCAATCATAATCACAAAACAAATGATGGGAACAATTTACTACGGCCCTTTGCTAGATTTCTATGCAAGATGCTTTTCCCATTTCATTTCTATATTTGTCAAGTGAAGATAACTTAAAGGGAAGAGAATTTATTGTTGCTAAATTAAAGGATGGAAAGTTGGATTTTTTATGTTTTAAATAACAAATTCATTTATCTATGCTTAACTGCCTGAAAATAATTTTTTTTTTTTTTTAATAATGTTTGTTAATTAATTTGCAGATGTAATTTTCAATTTGATAATTATGATTCGATTACTAATATTATGTTTGGTATATTATATTGGTATCATAATTAATGGACAACTTGTTTACAATGATACTATATCTAACAAGCAACAACAATCTATACAGGTTTCATTAATTACTATTAATTATCTAATTGTAATTATTTATTCATTGATTTTTTGGAGGTTACTTATTCGACTTTTTTTTTTCTATTGTATTTTTGATATGTTACAAGGGTGAGGAAAAGGAAGTATCAAAAATATCCTTTAAAAAAAATGGAATGTCGGGAAGTATCTTTTCAAAAAACAAAAATGTCAAAAAATATTTCAGAGCATGAAAATAACACGAAAAGAGTTAAAGTGATATGCTTCTTTAATAAACTTTGAATAAAAGATATTTTCCTTTTTCTTGAAAATTATTTTTGAAAACGAAGAAATAGCAAGTTGATACATTCTCGTAAGTATAACATATGTTACTTTTTGCAACAGTATGATGAAAATGCTGAAGTCGTAAAATTAAATTTTATTCAATGAGCACTTTCAAATGCAAATAAGTGTTTTTGCAATTGATAATTCTTTGGTACCATTTCTCATAAATGTTTGCTTCTGTGACTTTTATTGCTATTTTATTAATGAAATAACAACATGTGACTTTTTCATAAGCAGCTATTTTAATATATGAATGTATGACATATAAGATGACCTTATTGCAGAACCTTCATGAAAGGGCAATGGATGGAATACTGAACAACAGTAAACAGATGCTTGAAAAAGTAGCTGATGAAAAGCTAAGCAGTGATCGTTTAATACTGATATCTTATTTAGCTGCGATAAGTCAGTTTCCAAAAAATCTATTCGATTCGCTAAAATTATTATCTGAGGTTTGTTCCTCCAATATTACAGTAAGTTACGGAAGAGCTAAAATTTTGCAGTTTTACTGCCGAAATGGATTTCATCGGAAAAAGCATTATAGGTGATTTATAAGCAATCTATATAGGTTGTCATCCTATTATAACTGTTTGTTTGAAAATAGTTGAAGAAAAAAAAAAATTATATTGATACATGAGTTAATTACTCTCAGGCAAAATAACAACGAAAGAGTGTAATTACTTTTTTAAGGCTAATAACATTGAAACAGCAGCTGAAAGGGATAAAAATTATGGCTATCTCTCGAAATGTTTCCGAACAGACTTTGAAGGTAAGATAAAAGTAGCAATTGACTATATATTGTGGATAATGCCATATTTGCAAATTTCTCATCAAGCACACTTTGAAGTATATAACATAGATAAAGTAAAACTTAACTTTACTTCAGGTTCCATGATATCCGGAGCTTTGCAAGTAGCCGTAGATGATGTGAATGCTGACCCAGAGTTACTTCCAAATCATAAGCTAATCTATACATTCAACAACACTTGTGGCGATGAGCAGCAAAGTTTTATCTCATTTCGTTGAAAAGTGAAATATTAGAATTGATAAATGATTGTTTTTCTTTTTCTTTTGTTTACTTTTCTAACATGTGTAAGTTATTTATGGAGGTTTAGGTACTCGATTTTTTATGCAACATTGGGCACAAGGTGCAAAGGTTTTCATCGGTCCGGAAATGAATTGTCGGACGGAAGCAACGATGGCAGCTGCTCAGAATTTACCTATTCTATCTTACAAATGCAAGGATGAAATGATGTCTGACAAATCCAAGTTTGTATTTTGGAAATTAATTTTGAATGAATAACTTATTAGGATATTAAAATACGTTCTGTGATGATATCATGGAAAGTTTGGGATACATTTTCTGCCATAATAATTTGAAGGTTATCATTTTTCATCTATACATCTCAGATATCCTACATTTGCGAGAACAGTACCAACGGAAACAGAAATAACAGCTGCATTGATTGCATTGTTCAAGCATTTCGAATGGCGCAAATTTTCAATAATTTATGAGAGAAATGTAGCAAATGAGGAATTATTTCGTTCAATAAAGGTATTTCGAGCTTTTATTCGATCTGTTATCGTGTTGCAAAGTTTATGTTTACGTTAGCGAATACGTGTTGTCTCCCTCTCTGATCTATTATTTTCACAAAGAAAGGAACTTTTATGGAGTAGTGTCATCAGCTGTAACAGTGACTGAATGTATTAAATTTAAAAAAAAAAAAAAAAAATGGGGTATGAAATGAAAAAAAATTTATTGTAGAGTACTATTGAAAAGCAAAATATGGGCCTAGAAGTAAGTGATACCCATTATGTGATCATAAATGTGAGTACCGTACCTCACCCATTCTCGGAAATTGAACGAAGCAACATCAAGCAAATCATTTCTGACACATATGTTTCAACTCGAAGTAAGTTCTGTCTCTATTCCCAATTATTTTGAAATTAATTGAAATGTTGTCAGACAAGGAAATTATTTTGTTTTTATCGATGCTGAAATGCTGAAAACTTATTAGAGTATTTTAAGTGATTTACTTTTGCTTTGATTCGACAATGTTAAGCTGAAATTTTGCAGTTTATCTGACATTTGGAAATGTTCGTTTGTTTCGTCGGATACTTCTAGAAATGGGAGCTCAGGGCTTAATGGAATCTGGTGATTATGCATTGATTTATCTGGATCCTGACTATAATTGGTTGAACACCTATCATGCTATGAATAATCACTTCTTCAGAGGTATTTTATGGAAATTTCTGATCTTTTTAACTACCTAGATTTAAATTAATTTAATACTTATATTCTCTAAGGCTTGAATTTTTTATAGGATTCTAAGATTTAATCCTAAATTTCCAGGATGATTTTACAAGTTTATATCCCATTTTGCATATGCCTTTTTTAGATACTCTGCTTTCGGTAAAGCAATCATGGGATGACTTGAATTCGCAGGATCGAAAGGTTGTAAATTTTTCGAAATTTGCCTTGGCAATCATTCCAACACCGGTGCAGTTAAATGCTCCAGAATTTGTAGCATTTTGGCGTAAAGCCAATCATTATTTGTCATTATTTGGTGTAAAGCAGAGCAGTACTGCAACTTCTATTAAGGTATTATTTTCGATTTAGAATATAAATATAAATCACACTTGCTATTTTATTCTGTTTTTATCTAAGTAAAAATAGCAAATGTTTTACAATTTTCCTTACATAATTTAAATTTTTAACTTTGCTTATTAACAATTAATTCTTGTTAATGCTTAAAATATTTGCCAATAAATTTGTACAATTTTTCCCATCTTTATATTTTGCAGGCAAATCGTTTTGCATGTTATTTATATGATGCGGTGAAATTATACGCATCAGCATTAACAATGGTATTAAACGAAACTGCCAATGAACAGCTTTCAGTTGGTTATGATCCGATATCGGATGGGAAACGGATCATCGGTCATATCTTGGGACGTGTATATCGAAGTAAGTATATCAAAAAAGGAGACAAATTTCTTATAATCAGTCTATTTGGAATATCTTAATGTATTAACATTACTAGTGCTAGTATATTTGTTTCATCCTCTTTTTCTCATTTGTCCGATTTGATAAACTAAATTCAGGAATGGAAAAGTTGAAAAAAACGATGTTGATTGTAGGTATACAAGGATTTGATATGCATATTAATAGCAACGGGGATGCACAAGGCAATTATACTCTATTGTCACTGCAAGAGATAGAGCCAGTATTGGATATGGATAATCCTGATTACTATCCACTCAATTATGGTCTAGATATTTCTGCTGATTTTGTTCATGACTTTACCGGTGATCTTCCTTTGTTACGCTTCAAACGTGATATCCAATGGCCTACTGGATTTGCACCTCGTGACGAACCTATCTGTGGATTTCATGGAAAAATGTGCAAAAAAGGCATCTTTTTCAAAGTTCATGTTTAAATAGATATAAAGAATTCAATGTTTCTTGTTTTCATGTTTTTGTTATTTGAAATTTGGTGAATTTTGAAGATTATAATTAAATTTTGAATTTTCAGTTGACAATAATTCATTTACTACTACTAAGACATATCCTAGAAAGATATTTCAGACTGGTGGTTAACAGTTTTCCTGACAGTAGTTACTGTATTCTGCTTCTTTTCGGTGGTTGGAAGTGCAATGATTTATCGGTATGTAACACAATTACATAGTTTAGGTAGAAAGGAGAAA